GCCAACGAGCAGCGAACACCGCACCAGAGCAGGAGACAGACACAGCCAGCATCTTGTGCGGAAAATGGGACGCGGAAGCCAACTCGCCAGCCTCGAAGCCAGGCGGAGTCCGGAGACACCACCGGCCGCAAGTCCGGCAAGCGTGTGAGGCTCGCCAGCCTCGGAGCCAGGCGGAGTCCGAAGACCCCACCGGCCCCAAATCGGGCAAGTGCGTGATGCAATTCAAGCTTGCCAGCCTTCGAGCCAGGCGGAGTCCGAAGACCCCACCGGCCCAAAGTCCGGCAAGCGACATGCATGCTGGGCCTCCAGGCCAGCCAAGGCTGACTGTTCTTGTCGTTGTTGTCGTTCTTGTCGTTGTCGTCGTCGTTGTTGTTCTTGTTGTTGTTGTTGTTGTTGTTGTTGTTGGTGGTGGTGGTGGTGGTGGTGGTCTTGTTGGTGTTGTTGGTGTTGTTGTTGTTGTTGTTGTTGTTGTTCTTGTTGTTGTGTTTCTTGTTCTTGTTGTTGTTGTTGTTGTTGTTGTTGTTGGTGGTGGTGTTGTTGTTGTTGCTGTTGCTGTTGTTGTTGTTGTTGTTGTGGTTGCCGTGGTTGTTGTTCTTGTTCTTGTTGTTGTTGTTGCTGTTGTTGTTGTTGTTGTATGCTGCTGAGACACCACAACTTGGACCAACTTGGACTCGGTTTTGTGAACTGAACTCAATGACGAAGACCCAATCAGCTTGACACTGTCGTTCCGCTGTTTTGCAGCACCCAACCCCTTACATCAGCACTCATTGAAAGCATCTTTGGTGCCGACAGCCGACGTATGAGTCCGAACAAGCTCCTTAGAAACCTAACTTCGCCTGAGTTTGGATTTGGCCCGACGAAACTGCCAAGGTGTCTAAGATTGATACGCCAGGGGGCAACACTTGCGGTCGCAATGTATGTGTGTATATATATATATATTTATATATATATATATACATATAATATATACATATATAGACCCCACATCTAGACCCGACAGCTGCTTCAACTTTAATAATTCCCGGACATTGACCCCCGAAGCCGTAATCTAGTTTTTCATCTAGCCGCCTATTTAGTTAGACTTCGAGCCTGCCCAGTCTGCCAGTCGCCTGTGCTGAAGGGGCCTGGTGGGCTGCACCCGATGATAAAGCTGAGATGCTCTGCTCTGCGATGAAGTTTCACCGACACATGGGGCCTTTGCTTCCTAACATTTGTTCAGAGCCTGGACTAGGGTCTTCTTCTGCCTATGTTCTGATGCTGGCATACACAGAACGAGTGCGCATTCAGGACCATCTCCGCATACGCAGTTGGAAAACTGTGCACATGTAAT